GGACCTACTTAATTCAAGGTTTCACAGATTTCGCAGAAACTGAAATTGCAAAATCCATGAAATCAACACCAACAACAAAAAACAATAAAAATAAAAAAGGACTTGGGTAAAAGAGAGGAGGATAAGTATAGGGTAGCCAGCTAACAGGTGACAGGGTGGTGTGAGAGAGATGTGCGGCAATCAATGTCAGTACAGCAATTAAGAGGGGGAATATACATTTCTTAGTTAAATGAGTGATATCAGGAGGCTGTGAAGGTAATACTGACAACTGCCTCTGTTACCATTGCTCCTCATGTACATAAACTGCCAAAAGGTACTTAACTAAACATTATTTTCATTTGTGGTTAAAAAGCGAGCAACATATGACATTACTTGAGTACATACCAAGTGGATTAAGATGTAGAGCAGTGGTTCCCAAACTTTTGATACCTAGGACACGTTTTTTTTGTGAACTACACCCAAAAATGTGTCTGTAAGTCTCAGGGTAATGTATGAGTATGTGTTTTAGGCCCAGTTGCCTACTTGCACGTGGTTGAGTGTATGCAAGTCATTAGGCCTATGTGAATAGGGAAGTATCCGATTGAATTTGGCTGATTTCAGAGTATAGTGATTTGATTTGGAGATTCAGATCACTGTCCTGATTTGATTTGGCCGAATCGGCTTCAGAAGATTCGGCGCTGTTTTGGACAGATTTGGTGATTTGGATTGGCCGGGGAGAGACAGGCACAGTTGGGCAGCTCCAGATTCTCCCGTGGCTCCTCCGGCTGTACCTGTGTCTCTCTGGGCAGGGGTAGCTGTGGGAGAAGCCCCCATGGCTGCCCTGCCTGGCTCCAGCCTAGTCCTGGCACTTTAAAACTCCCCCAGAAAACCCCTGTACTCACTGGCTGCAGGAGCAGAGATTGGGGCCTCTGGGTGCTCATGGCAGGGCCTCCCACCCTTGCACACAGTGTGGGGTAGTGGGGCTTTTTGTTCTGGAGGCTAGGCCAGGTGTGGGATGGGGCCAGACAGGGCAGCCATGGGGGCTTCTCCTACGGCTCCTCTGGCTGTGCCTGCCTCTTCCCCAGCTGTGGGGGCTACGCCGTGCTGCAGCTTGCCCAGCTGGCTTGTGGGCGGAGACATGATGTAGGTGCAGCTTGCTCTGGGTGGCAGCAGGGCAGAGCCCCCACTCCTACCGCTGCTGTGCCCACATCAGCTCTGGGAGCTGGGGCTCTGCCCTGCCTCCACTTGCCAGCGAGCCAGCATGAGGGGTCATGGGGCATGGGATGTAGGCACGGTAGTGTTGGGAGTGGGGGCTCTGCCCTGCTGCTACTGTCAGCTGCCTGTTTAGTCTATGGCTGAATCTCCGAATCGGCCGAATCTTTTTCTGAAGCTTTTCCAAATTGATTCGGAGCTTTTACTTGGTCTCCTGATTCAATTCAGATTTGAAGATTCGGTCCCAGAATCGGGCCAAATCTCCAAATTGAATCGGCTACCGAAGCTTTGTACATATACATGACTACTTGCCTCCCACCATGTATACCAGTGGTCTCCAACCTTTTTATGGTGAAGATCACTTTCTGGAAGCTAAGGGCACCCCAGGATCTACAGTGCCCTCCCTCTGCCCCACCCCATCCTGCCTCCTGCTCCATCCCTACCTTCTCCCATGCGCCCCTGGACTGCAGTGTGTCCCAGACTGGGCTGGGGCCCAATCCCACATCTGTACTGTGGCTGCGCTGAACTGCGCCCACCCAGTGGCCAGACGAGCATGGCGTCAGGCCCTGGCCCTAGGCTGACCGGGTCTGGGAGTCTCTGTGGTCCAGCGGTGCATTTTTGGGGAGGCTCCCGCTGCTAGGCACAGCCTGCCAGAGGCCCTGGTGGCCTGTGCCCCCCAACATGTGGTCCAGAGTCCCTGGGGGCCTGTGCTCTCCCCCACCTATGCTCAAGATGAGGTAGCTGCTGCTGCAGGCTGCATGCTGTGTCCTGAGCACAGGTGGGGGGGGGGAATTGGCCGCTGGGGCCTCCACTGGGCTGCACCCAGTGGCAGGAGGCCCACCCCCGCATGCCCCTGCATGACCAGATCTTCCCAGACCCAGCTGGGCTGGGACTGCCCCCACATGAGCCCTGCTGCTGATTGAGCCATGCCTGCATGTAGCTAGCTGCAGCAGGACTCGAGGCACAACAGCAGTCATCTCTGCCCCCACACAGATGGGGAGGGAGCCCCCGCTGTGCCTCTGGAGGAGTCCCCTGGGCTTCAATCCTCCCACCACCCGGATGGGGTAGGACCCTGCTTACCTTCCCCTGCTCCTGGCTGGGCTGCATAGTCAGTTGTTCGCTGTGAGGGGCCTCGATCTGGCCCCCACCCTTTCCCTCCCCCACAGACTGACCTACTGGGGTTAGGGGCAGCAGGTGTGCGCATGCCTGCATGCCCAGCTGTCCCCCCAGCCCACGATTAGCTCAGAGGCTCTGGGATTTACCTGCTGATCAGGATCCCCAGGTTAGTGACCACTAATATATACTATGTGTGGCAACCAAAATTAAGGGATGTGAAGGATAACATTTAAACTATATGTATATTCGTACCAGTAATGCATTACTGGTTAATGTTTAGCGTGGGGCACAGGGTGGTGGGTTCTCAAGAGGATACTGAGCTAGATGGACCGGCGGTGTGGCTCAGTATGGCACTTCTTTTCTTTGTCTGTGCGTTTGTGTGCATATGAAGTGCTGTATATATGAAGTTTCATAGTTGGTAGGGTCGGAAGGGACCCGAGTGGATAATCAAGTACGACCGCCTGCCATGGCAGGAAAGAATGCTGGGGTCAAACAACCCTGGCTAGGTGGTTGTCTAGCTTCCTTTTGAAGACCCCCAGGATAGGAGTGAGCACCACTTCTCTTGGAAGTTGGTTCCAGATTCTAGCTGCCCTGACTGTGAAGTAGTGCCTTCTGATGTCTAGCCTGAGTCTACTCTCCGTCAACTTATGGCCGTTATTCCTCATTACTCCCAGTAGTGCTTGGGGGAAT